CTTAATTCAACCGAAACAGTGTCCAAAACAACCGGACTGTTCTCGGGTGCGAGGATCGATGGCTGCACATTTGAAAATACCACTAAGAAACCACGTATGACCTAAATATTTGGCAGCGTTTTTGCTTATCTAGAAATGAAGGACGTAAACTAAATGAAATACCTTCAAACGAACTTAACTTTCTCCTTTGTAAGTTTTTCATGACAATTACGAAGAAAGACGGCAGCGTCCATGAACCTTCATCTTTAACATCCTTTCAACGAACTCGACATTGAACATTTTTAAAGATGTAGAATTTGCCAAATCCAGAGATGTTCTTCTTGCCAGAGAGAGACAGTTAGTTGAAACCCACGCAAAAGGAAACCGTCCACAGGCATGCAGATCTCTAACCGAGGAGGAAGAAGAGTTGTTGTTTGACAAAGGCTTGTTCGGAGACCACGAACCTGAGACCCTTCAACGAACTGTCTGGTGGACGCTGTCATTTCATTTTGGCTTTAGAGCACGAGACGAGTCCAGGAAATTAAAGTGGGGAGATGTTGATTTGGGATTTGAAGAAGAATCTGGCCAAGAAATCCTCGTATGGAAAGCCGAGCGGGGCTCGAAAACACGGCATAGAGAAGGACACCAAAGGGCATTTTATCCAACAGCACAAGCAACAAATAACCGTCGCTGCCCTGTTAATTTGTACAAAGTCTTCGCCAGTCATCGCCCAGACACCTCCAAAACCCCAGACTCTCCGTTTTTCCTCACAGTTAATGATAAGAGAAAGGAAGACTCGCAGGTGTGGTACACCAAAGGTCCACTTGGGAAGAACTCCATTGGGATGTTTCTTATGAAAGCCGCGAAAGCTGCAGGTCTCTCGGGAAAGATAACCAACCACTCCGTGCGAAAAACTTGTATTTCTCGTCTCATGGACGCTGATGTTCCCACAAATGTTGTAGCACAGTTGAGCGGGCATAAAAATCTAAAAAGTCTCGACGCTTACAAGACGGCTTCGGTCACACACCAACGACAAATGTCAAGAATCCTCAGTTTCTCTGCCTCTGATCGGCCAACACCTAGTGCATTAAGCCCGTTGCAAACATTGGAGGTTTGGTCCGTTTCTCACAGCCAAACAAGCAACTCTGCGTGGCTTAATTCAACCGAAACAGTGTCCAAAACAACCGGACTGTTCTCGGGTGCGAGGATCGATGGCTGCACATTTAACTTCAACTTTGGTTCTAATGATTGGTCGAATGCCTCGAAGCAGACCAAAAAAATGATTCAGATTCTGATTAGATCTATGTTATTTAACAACAGGAACTTGAAGAAAACACGATCAGTGATTTTTAAATTTTAGTATATGAATTATTCAATATCATGTTGACTTTTCCAGTTGCTTCTTTTTTTTGCACGCACGTACGTACGTGTTGTTTGTTACTGTTGTTTGTCGAATGTCGACTGTTTGCTGTCGCTTTGTTTATTTGTATTTTGTGATAGTTTCTATAGCAACATTTCAACGGAACCCTTAAGAACGTTCTGAATAATTTTACTAATTTTACTAATATTTTTACTTCCTGTATGCTAATTTGTTTGTAAATTTTTATGCCTTAATAGTATGAAGTAAAAGTTTCCTTTCAGCTCGTTTACTGTCTTTATTTAGGATTGATAAATTTCTTAGCATGCGTGGCAGGCTCTGTATTTCTAGTCAAATGACTGATAAAAAATAAACACGTTATTTACCGGCAGCTTCGGTCTGGATGAGAAAAACTGTGCCCTCGGTCTTGAAAACGTCCCTCGCCCTTCGGGCTCGGGCCGTTTTCAAGACCTCGGGCACAGTTTTTCTCATCCGGACCTCGCAACCGGTAAATAACATATATATATATTATTGCGTTAAACAATGCACTCGCATTAGGCAATCAAACTGCCCGTTAGTCCGGTTGCCAGAGGTTCTGTATCTTTCGCCTTATTCCCGCTCGTATTTATTTTACGCGAGGCTAAGAGAACCTCTGGTGGCACGCGATACAAATCTTTCTTCCTTTGGTACAAAATTTGTACCAAGCACATGATTGGTTAGTTATAATTAGCAGTCACATGAAGTGATGTGATTGGCTAGACAAAAAAAACCTGTTTATAAATCTCAGAGAACATAATGTAAACAAAATACAGAAATAATACGAACGACGAACGTATTTAAAAATGCTTTACTTTGTCTGCGTTATTTGAGATTAACTTAGTTTGTTCCGCTATAAAAAGATTTTCTGCGCTGGAGAAGAGCTGGCATGACTTGAGTTGAGTTGACGCCTTGACGACATGTTCACTCTACTACAGTATTAATATTTGTATTAAAAGTATGAAGTGTTGCATGTTCACTTGCTTATCGTTCAAGGTTTTAAATTTTGGGAATTGTTTGACTTTAATAGTTTAACTTATTCATATGATTTATTTTGCCAATATTTTCTCGTTGTCTGTTATTGTTTAAAAGGAAACGTACATACTAGCTCCGTTGCACGCATATATAAATATTTATATGTTTATATTCTTTCACTTTTGATTTTATACGTTCGCTAATACAAACGCCATTCCACAAATTTAACAATTAGTAAGGTTGCTTTGAGCGTTACGAGAATAATCTACTTGTTTCTAATGAATAATCTATAATATTATGTTTGGGCTGCTTATTTTTAATATTTTACACAAGGCTGCCAAACAGTCTGAAGAGAGCTATTTTGGTAGTAAGACAAACCCGGAAGTTTTAAAACGTCACAAAATATAAAACCGGTTTTGCAAGTTCTCAAACGGCAACGTCAGCATGGAAGAGAGATTTGTATCGCGTGCCACCAGAGGTTCTCTTCCGGCTTCGCGTATTAAAAATAAATACGAGTGGGAATAAGGCGAAAGATACAGAACCTCTGGCAACCAGGGTAACTGTCCGTTATATCCATTTATATTATAAGTAACTTTATAGAATATTTTGTGCTTTATAATCTGGGGAGTATGCACCGGGAGGAAGGCACCGGGAGAAAGACAGCGGGAAGAAGGCACCTGTCCCCACAAATTTCTTCAGAGTGCCTTTTTTGTGCAGAAAAGTGCCCTTAATTTGTACAAGCTAATGTGGCTGTAAATACAATCGAACGTGCTCTTTTTCGGTGAGGAAATGTCGATGTTTTAAAAAAACTTGTCAAAAACGTTTATTATACGTTGGAATTAAAAATGTTAAGAAAGTGTATTACATTAAGCACGAAATGTGGCCTGACTGGAAAAATTTTCTCCCGTTCTTCTCCTCCCCCCCCTCCCCAATCTGTTGCCAACATTTCTGGAAGTAAAATTTCGGTGTCTTTGACACTTTGAAAAGTGCCCCTGGAAGCCAGTGCCCTCCCCAACCCTATGATGCTTTCTACGCCAATGGCTTTGTTGCATATTTTCTGGCACTGACAGTGCTAGGATTTATATTATTTGCTAAGAAATCAAGCATCTTAAAGCACTGCGTTGGTTTGGGGATCCTTTCATCCAGGGTGTTTGGTATAATATCCCCATGCATGTACACATCTCCACGGTCTTTGTCAAACAGCTTGTCTCATTTCTCCATTTTCTATCGATGCAGCGAGACTAGAAGTGCCAGTAAAAGCGGCGATAAAAGAATACCACAAAAAGACATGTTTAAAGTTTGTTCGGCGTACAACAGAGAAAAACTGGATAAGATTTGTTAGCAAAACCGGGTAAGTGTATTTATTATATAACAGACATGGAAATGGCTTGGGTGTTTTGGCCAAAATTTTGTATACAAAAACTGTATATCAAACAAATACAGAATGTTGCTGGAGCTTTGACTATCGTAAGTCTTGACTATTGGAACGGCTTAGACTTTCTCCTTAAAAAGATATATATATATATATATATATATATATATATATATATATATATTATACACTTAATGTCTGCTCCCGAGAATTTCAATGTTTCCCGAGACGAAGTCGAGGAAACATTAAGATTCGAGGGAAAACAGAACTAACTATTTCCCGAGGGAACAGGTATTAAGTGTTTTGTTATATAGCGACGAACAAAAATCAACTTCAACAACATTCGTACAACAATAATTATTGTATTTCGTGACAAAAACTCTATAGTGTAAACGAGTTTAAAATTAAAAGAACCTACTTAAACGGTTTCATCAGCATATCCTGTTGTCTGTTGTGTATTTTTCTTCTCTTTTATATTCTTTATTTGAACACAAACTTGGAAAATCGTAGTTTCTAATTATCTGAGTTGTGCCTCCATTTTGTTTATTTATGTACGTGGCCGGTCGGGGGGCAACAATTTTTCACTTGTTGTCCGGCGGGAAACATTGCATTTATCTGAAGTCACGTGACCACAAATATATAACAACATATATATATATATATATATATATATATATATATATATATATATATATATATATATATATATATATATATATATATATATATATATAT